ATTGTTGCCAGAACATGTAACTCTAACTTGGTTAATATATTTCTATTATTGTTGGATAGTGCTGAGAAGTGAAAAACAATTTTTTGAATGATCGAGTTGTTTACTTCTAATCAATTGGCTCATTTGATTACGTAAAAACTGGTACTTTGACCAATTATCGCTTGTGCTTTGACTGCGATATGATCTGAGTGAATTCTGTTTCTTAATCAACAAATGCTGACATTCTGAATCGAACCATTCCGTTTTCAAAACATTTTTTGGTTTAAAATTAGGAACAAATTGTTTTTCGGTAGGAGCATGTTGCTGAAGAGCACTAGAAATTAAATAAATCATCGTCGAGAACATGTTTTGTGCCTCTGTACATTGATATAAGAGATACCAAGGAAGAGCGGAGAATGTATTGCAAAATTCATTTTTCTGATAATTTTTCTTATTGAAAGTCGAAATTATCCTCGGTAAACTTTTGCCGCATTTTATATCCGTCAAAATAAATGAAGCAAAATGGTCGGTTTTATAAGGTGTATCAAAACAAAATTCAATGCCGTTTGTTTCATAGTCACTGATAATGTAGTCAATATGAGTTTTAGTTGAGGAACTAATTCTGGTCTCATCGTTTGGACAAAAATTCTTCAATCCATATGGAATAATTATAGAATCTAAATTTTCTTTTTCTTTGCTATCCAGATAATTTATGTTATAATCACCCAGAAGCGTAATTTTATTAGAAACTGAAACTGCATTAATTATGTTAAGCTTTAATTGTTCCAAAAAATCAAAAAAGTTTGATCTGCTTGGATTATAACACAAATTAAATAACATTTTTTCTTTACTGGAAATGTTAAATGTAGATTTGCACTCAACCCACACTGACTCATATTTTTCTTTATCAAATAAATTTAAATCAGGCCTCAATTTCGGAGATAATTTGACTGGTATATATAGCAAAACGCCACCACCTTTCTTTTTTACCGCTGATTGCCTATCATATCTGAACATCGCATGCGTTCTAGGGTCGAGATTCCATAAATTGTCACTATCTTTTTTCAGCCACGTTTCGGAAATTCCTATAATTGTATTGTTGCCCATATCATCAAGAAATTTTTTCAATTGCATCCGTTTTCTAATAATACTTTGAAAATTCAAATAAACATATTTAAAATTTGCACAATTTTTTGAGCAGATGCCGTAGACTGTTTCAATGGTTTCAATAGAAAAAATATAAGTTTCAAGTTTGAAAAAATATAATTTAAATGTTTGGCAATTTTTTTGTCTTGGGTTATCATTTCACTGAAGGAATTTCATAGAACTGTAATTCGATTGTTGCCAGAACATGTAACTCTAACTTGGTTAATATATTTCTATTATTGTTGGATAGTGCTGAGAAGTGAAAAACAATTTTTTGAATGATCGAGTTGTTTACTTCTAATCAATTGGCTCATTTGATTACGTAAAAACTGGTACTTTGACCAATTATCGCTTGTGCTTTGACTGCGATATGATCTGAGTGAATTCTGTTTCTTAATCAACAAATGCTGACATTCTGAATCGAACCATTCCGTTTTCAAAACATTTTTTGGTTTAAAATTAGGAACAAATTGTTTTTCGGTAGGAGCATGTTGCTGAAGAGCACTAGAAATTAAATAAATCATCGTCGAGAACATGTTTTGTGCCTCTGTACATTGATATAAGAGATACCAAGGAAGAGCGGAGAGTGTATTGCAAAATTCATTTTTCTGATAATTTTTCTTATTGAAAGTCGAAATTATCCTCGGTAAACTTTTGCCGCATTTTATATCCGTCAAAATAAATGAAGCAAAATGGTCGGTTTTATAAGGTGTATCAAAACAAAATTCAATGCCGTTTGTTTCATAGTCACTGATAATGTAGTCAATATGAGTTTTAGTTGAGGAACTAATTCTGGTCTCATCGTTTGGACAAAAATTCTTCAATCCATATGGAATAATTATAGAATCTAAATTTTCTTTTTCTTTGCTATCCAGATAATTTATGTTATAATCACCCAGAAGCGTAATTTTATTAGAAACTGAAACTGCATTAATTATGTTAAGCTTTAATTGTTCCAAAAAATCAAAAAAGTTTGATCTGCTTGGATTATAACACAAATTAAATAACATTTTTTCTTTACTGGAAATGTTAAATGTAGATTTGCACTCAACCCACACTGACTCATATTTTTCTTTATCAAATAAATTTAAATCAGGCCTCAATTTCGGAGATAATTTGACTGGTATATATAGCAAAACGCCACCACCTTTCTTTTTTACCGCTGATTGCCTATCATATCTGAACATCGCATGCGTTCTAGGGTCGAGATTCCATAAATTGTCACTATCTTTTTTCAGCCACGTTTCGGAAATTCCTATAATTGTATTGTTGCCCATATCATCAAGAAATTTTTTCAATTGCATCCGTTTTCTAATAATACTTTGAAAATTCAAATAAACATATTTAAAATTTGCACAATTTTTTGAGCAGATGCCGTAGACTGTTTCAATGGTTTCAATAGGACCAGGGTTTTTTTCAACATCCCCACTTTGGGTCAGTAACAACGCAAAAAGGAAAAGATGAGTCAGTGTGGTAGCTCTCCGCTCATTTATCCCACATTTCGATGATAATATCTTTTGATGGCAGCTTAGATGGCCCCAGTAAACAATGGTTTTTTCTATATTTTCCATCTGGGCCTTGGATATCAGAAAAATTGCACAAAACAACGAGAGTTTAATATTCAGCATAATAAATTAAATAAATTAAGTAATCGCCAAAATTTGTACCAAGAAAAAATGCGAAACTAGTATTTCCTAAAGAATTTTGCACCGTTTTGGAAAATTTGTATCATTTCTGCCGTTTTTGGATCTAAATATGATGATTGTTGGGTTTGCTTCATTCTGGGGCGGGTTGTAATCTCACATGTGTTTGCATTAATATCAAAACCTCTAAAAGAATCTCTATAATTTTGCACCAAAATTTCAACACCCCCATCAGAAGGATGCAAACCATCCGAGCTAAGCGCATCGGTATTTTGACTAAAATTTTTGTTTATGTCTAAAATATCCAATTTTACTTCGCCCAAGTCCTTTACATTCCGTACTAAATTAAGAATTTGCTTGTTTAGCTTCTGTACATTTGGATTAAAATCTTTTCTAAAAGCGCCTAAGGGAGTTACAGTACAAAGTAAAATTGTTTCTGGGGAGAATTTATGATTTGCGAGATAAATTAGTTTTTCTAAGCTACTCACGGCTTCCTTCGCGTCGAAATAATTTGAGAGGCAGTCATTTATTCCAATTAGCGTAGTTACATGTTTAAAATGTCGCGATTTACTGCAAATTTCTAATTTAATAACAATGCTTTGCGAATGGGGCTAGGTCTTTTACCAGACCGACCTTTTACCGTGGACGATTCGTAAAGGAAGTGGTTAGAACAAGCAAAGCTTTGCTGAGAAACCGTGAAATCATTGGCTTCAACCAGACTGACTGGCGTCAATACATCTGTCAATCAAATTTGTTTATCGAGTCTGGTAAAAGGTCCATGTTATGAATTTTCTGGTAAAAGGTCGGTCTGGTAAAAAGTCGGTCATCAGTGCAATTTTACTGTTATTATTTGCAGGTGTGGATATTAATTAGTAAATACAATAGGGGGGGAGAGATTGTTAAGTAGATTCTAGTTTCGCACAAAACCTATAACCACGGCGGACAATTGCATCCCAAGCGTCGAACTGTAAAGTAAAATCTGGATGTTCATCACAGTATTTAAAAATTAGGCTAGCATAATTATCGGATATTCGACGATCTCGCACTTTGAATTTGGTCTGACAAAAAATTCAAGGTAGTTCGGTTTCAGATTTTGCATCCAAAAAAGCGTCGAAAAGCACTGATTGCTCATTTTAATTAATTCTATCTGTCCGAACTTTTTGCAACTAATTATATGTAGACTCATAATTGGAGTGCGTCACTCAAGAAATTTTGTAGACTAAGTTTTACTCATTCTTTTTTTCCCAGTAGCGTTATCGGTCATATTTTTGCTTGTGTATGCGTGGTATACCATATACTTGAAAAAACCTGTTCAGAAAAAGACTTTGGTATACAAATAACCAACAACCTAAACTGGTCAGCACACGCAAAAATAAGAGCCCAAAAAGCAATAGGATGCTTATTTTTAATTAAAAGAAATATTTCAAAATCAGCGAGCTTAAAAATGAAACTGAACTCCTACTGTGGATATGTAACCCCAATTGTGTCATATGGCTCACCCATATGGAAAGCAAATAAGTGTGATTTAAAAATTATTGAAGATGTCCAAAGAAAAGCTACACGTTGGATACTGTCATGTAACAACATCAACTATAAAGACAGACTGATTAGATTAAACCTGCTTCCACTGTCTCTCTACCACGAAATGCACGACATTCTCTTGCTTCAAAAAATAATAAACGACCAATACAACTTCCATTGGAGACAATTTGTTCAGTTCAAAGAATCTACAGCCCCAACAAGAAGATCAACGAAAAATAACTTAGCGCATAAAAATTATCATTACGAAAAATCGAAAAGCAATTTCTGGCACAGAACACACACTAGCAAACAAAATTTTACAGACTCAGGAAGAAGAAGACCTGTTTGCGATGAAATACGAAAGACTCAAATCAAGCCTCAAAAACGTTTTCTGGATATATTTCATCAGTAAATATGAGGAAAGTGTCCCATGCACATGGTGAATAAACTGCTGCAATAGCTGTGTAAACTCAAAGAAACTATAAAACTCAGTTTAAAACTCCCAACGCGAAGCATTTTAGCCCCATGGCTTTATGTCTAAATCCTTGTTTATTATTATTATTATTATTATTATTATAAGTGCATCTTCGCCTCTGTGTCAAATTGTGATCTGCGAAATATGTCGAGCGACATTTTGGCGAGGTGGAGGGGATACCAATTTTTTAATTAATTGTCCCAGTGAGTGCGTTTACTTTTACTTTTTTCAGTATCAAGCATGTTTACATTGTAGAGAAACGTCAGGGATTTGTTGCGAAAGGCATGGCTTTACCTTTGGTTAGTATTGTTTGGATTGCCCTGAGGCAACTGTCTAAACCTCTTGCACGCTACCTTGCCAGCCAGGCGCCTCATTATCGAACTTTCAGAGTGTACTTAGTGGTCCCACTGGGACAGTTTTATCACAGATGCGAAACTAGGGCAAGAATGTTGAATCAGGGCTTCAAATGGCCTAGAAAGATTCCGCCTCTTCAAGAGGAAAAGGCAATCGAGTACAGCACAGAAATGCTAAGCGAACTCTTGATATTTTTGGTTGCTATTTCACCGATTGTCTACACATGGTATCAAGTGTCGAGTTCTCATAAAGAGAAATCAGAAGTTGAACAGCTCAAAGGACAAGCAAACATTGAGTATTTATCTAATCAGCTAATGAACCTTACTATTGAAATTGACAAACAAGCTGCAGAGCTCAGAAATTTCGAAAGAAGACTGGGTGATATTGATACTAGACATCACAAATTGATTTCGCATCTCGAAAAGGCATGGTATAAATTCTGGTGAAACAGCCGAGCAAATATGAACTAATTACTAGATTTCTATTCAAATTTGATTATTGTACAATCGAAAGTTTTAAAAGTTATTTGATTTTTTTTTCGTGAGTTTTCATCTTACTTTCTTACAGATTAAAATGAGTTTTGTGGGTAGATTTTCTCGAGTTGTTCCTGTGAGCAGAACACATTTTTCGATACCCATATGGAAGAGTGAAGCAAACTGTTTGTTAAAAGTTAATTTTTTATCCAGTCGAAGTTTTAGCCGCTCTCGCATACTTAGAGGTGAGTCAATAATCAACTACTAAATTTAATTATTCAAAATCAAATGAATAAAATTGGTTATGTAGTTAACGTTTTAGAGAGGTTTTACACCGAATCACATGAGTGGGTTTTGTTAAGCGATGACAAATCCAGAGCAACTATTGGTATTTCTGACCATGCTCAGGTAAGCCAAGATAAGTAAATATCCTTTCGGCCTAACGAGATGTACCAAATTGAACCGTTCTTTCTGAGTTATAAACAGCAAAAAGGACCGATTTTTCCCTCAAAAAGTCACCCGGTTGAGATCATCGGCCTAACTATTTATTTTGCTCCAGTGTTGCGTGTAAAAATGACAGATTTTGATGGAATGAAAATTGCAACTTGGGACCGCGCTGAAATTGCAACTTGGAGACTACTTTTTATTTGTAGAAGTTATTGCTTGAATTGTAGAGTTCATTGGGCGATGTTGTGTTTGTGGAGCTTCCTGAACTGGAAAAAGAAGTGAATGTAGGGGACGAATGTGGTTTAGTTGAGAGTACGAAGTCAGTAAGCAACATTTACTCGCCTGTGAGTGGCGAAGTATCCGAAGTGAACTCAGTTCTAGAAGAAAAGCCTGGTCTTATCAATGAAAGTCCGTGTGATGATGGCTAGTAGATTTTGATATAATAAATTATAAAATCGTTTTTTGATTTACTACGAATTAATTTGTTTTCTCAATTCAACGGGTTTTATAAAGGCAACTTGGTATATTCATGAAATATTTGATGTACGCAAACAAGCTGTTGAAGTTTTCTGTTCTCATTCTGTTGAAGTTTTCTTAAGCTCAACTTGTCGAATGATTGTTGTTCTGACCATTTGAAAAATGCGGAGGAACTTTGTATACAGGTGCGTTTTAGTTTTTTCTTTGTATTTTCCACGCAAAATCAGGTACCACAAACAATTATGGGATTATGTCGAGTGATATACCATATTAAAGCCCTTTCAGTCGTGATTCGAACGACATCAAAAAATATTACGAAAAATTGTCCCAGTAAAGAGAAAAACGGGTTTAAAGTTTGATTTTTAGTCTAAATTCGAGCGAATAAAACGAGCGAGCAGGCTCACAATAGCTTATTTTTGCTTAATTTAGGCCGCGAAAACTTAATTTTATCCAAATAATTTTGTTTCCGGAGTTTTTAGCGGCGATTGCGAATTAAAAACATACTGAAGCAATAAAAATTTGAAAAAAAGTTTTTGATTTTTTTGGCATTTAATTTTCTTTTCTAGTCATTTTTCTACAGAATTTTCCTTAGTTCTAGTTTTTTGTTCAATCCTTTTACCACACCACGCAAAAAAAAACGACACCAATTTGAAAAACTGTGGTCGGAAAGTTCTGTACTAGTTGCACAGTAACCGGCTATCCTTGTTATATAGTTACCTTTGTTTATAGGCTGGATATGCAAATTGAAAGTTGGAGACGTGGCCTCCGAATTGTCAAAACTGATGAACCAGCAGAAGTATGATCTGTTTTTGAGCAGCCAGGAGTCATGATGCGATGCCTAATAATAGATGCTATAACGATTTAATGTATAATGTATAATTAGACTGTTGCTCTTGATATTTGGAAGTTGTGTAATATAAATTTGCAAATTGTTTTCGGTTTCTGAAAAAAGTGATTTATACAGCTAGGAATAATTATACTTATTGCTTGGGTTTTCTGTTCTATCGGAACTCGGTTTCTGGTCTGTTTTTTTTTACGCTTGCCATTAGCAAAGCATTATCAAATAGTAAAATATACTTTTTTCGGATGAACATCTAGTTTCAAAAAATCAGTTGAATCATTTGACAGCTTGGCTTACAATTAATTTAAATGTCTTAGTCTTAGCTTCTCTGGTACAATAGGTCTAGATAAGCTACTAAGCTTGGTACGGAACATGTCCTTAGCTCGCATCTCACCAGGACTATTTTTCAAACGGGAATGAGTTCGTTTCTAAAAAGATGTCTGCTTATGTTTTTCGGCTTGTTTGCTTCTTATAAGATATTTTGCTATACCGAATGTTCATTATCTTTGCTTTGAGAGTGTTGGTTCACTCCTGCAATTTGTATTTTCACTAATATTTACTTCCTATGTTTTCCTTTTTTACTAGTTTTATTCGGCGCTAATGATTTCAGTTTATATTTTATGGGCTGAATTGCCTAATTTTGGGTCGTTTCACGGGAAGCATAATTGTTATGCTCCCTTTCGGATCACAAATTTCTCTTATTTTTACAATAGGTTTTATAGTTCTATCAACAGCAATTTTTTAAATAACCGCACTTTTTTCAGCTTACGGGAATTTACCTGAGTAGAACTTAGGTCTACTTACCTAAGTTACCGCAAATTTACCTTAGTTAACGCAAATTTACCCAAGTTACCGCAAATAGAATATCATTTCAGACAAAATTTTGAAGTTTTTTTTATCAATGTTTTTGGACTTGTTGGGCTTCCTTTCCTGTCTGCTTGCTTGCAATGCTGTTTTGTAGTATCGGAAGTAGAGCGAAGCTCCGCTTCGCATCTGTTTAAAGCTTCCATTGTGTTTATGGATTTGTTTTCTTTTACTAGAATATGGTTGCAGACGAATTTCTGTGATTGATGTTTTTGTGTTTTCTCTCTTATGTAGATTGCTAGGTTTGTGTGGTGTTGCAACCGGTGTTAAGCTTCGCTTTATCTCTGTGTTGAAATACTTTTTTTGGCTCTTCTCTGCGTTTTTGTATAAAGACGAAATGTTCAATCCTTTTACCACACCACGCAAAAAAAAACGACACCAATTTGAAAAACTATGGTCGGAAAGTTCTGTACTAGTTGCACAGTAACTGGCTATCCTTGTTATATAGTTACCTTTGTTTATAAGCTGGATATGCAAATTGAAAGTTGGAGACGTGGCCTCCGAATTGTCAAAACTGATGAACCAGCAGAAGTATGATCTGTTTTTGAGCAGCCAGGAGTCATGATGCGATGCCTAATAATAGATGCTATAACGATTTAATGTATAATTAGACTGTTGCTCTTGATATTTGGAAGTTGTAAAATAAATATGCAAATTGTTTTCGGTTTCTGAAAAAAGTGATTTATACAGCTAGGAATAATTATACTTATTGCTTGGGTTTTCCGTTCTATCGAAACTCGGTTTCTGGTCTGTTTTTTTTTACGCTTGCCATTAGCAAAGCATTATCTAATAGTAAAATATACTTTTTTCGGATAAACATCTTGTTTCAAAAAATCAGTTGAATCATTTGACAGCTTGGCTCACAATTAATTTAAATGTCTTAGTCTTAGCTTCTCTGGTACAATAGGTCTAGATAAGCTACTAAGCTTGGTACGGAACATGTCCTTAGCTCGCATCTCAGCAGGACTATTTTTCAAACGAGAATGAGTCCGTTTCTACAAAGATGTCTGCTTATGTTTTTCGGCTTGTTTGCCTCTTCTAAGATATTTTGCTATACCGAATGTTCATTATATTTGCTTTGAGAGTGTTGGTTCACTCCTGCAATTTGTATTTTCACTAACATTTACTTCCTATGTTTTCCTTTTTTACTAGTTTTATTCGGCGCTAATGATTTCAGTTTATATTTTATGGGCTGAATTGCCTAATTTTGGGTCGTTTCACGGGAAGCATAATTGTTATGCTCCCTTTCGGATCACAAAATTCTCTTATTTTTACAATAGGTTTTATAGTTCTATCAACAGCAATTTTTTAAATAACCGCACTTTTTTCAGCTTACGGGAATTTACCTAAGTAGAACTTAGGTCTACTTACCTAAGTTACCGCAAATTTACCTTAGTTAACGCAAATTTACCCAAGTTACCGCAAATAGAATATCCTTTCAGACAAAATTTTGGAAGTTTTTTTATCAATGTTTTTGGACTTGTTGGGCTTCCTTTCCTGTCTGCTTGCTTGCAATGCTGTTTCGTAGTATCGGAAGTAGAGCGAAGCTCCGCTTCGCATCTGTTTAAAGCTTCCATTGTGTTAATGGATTTGTTTTCTTTAACTAGAATATGGTTGCAGACGAATTTCTGTGATTGATGTTTTTGTGTTTTCTCTCTTATGTAGATTGCCAGGTTTGTGTGGTGTTGCAACCGGTGTTAAGCTTCGCTTTATCTCTGTGTTGAAATACTTTTTTTGGCTCTTCTCTGCGTTTTTGTATAAAGACGAAATGTGCGCGAAACAAACGTAAAAATGAGTAAGTTTTTATTTGTAATTTTTTTCTCATCACTACATGAACTATTTTAAAAGATATCAAAAATTTGTGCATTCAGCTATACAAATTTGAAATTGTATTTACGAAATTTTGACCAGAGAGAAAAGGACCACGATGATGGTTTTGAGCTCTTTACAGAAAGGCCGCTGTTTTTCTCATTATACTTGTCAGAGCAAGTGTATTGTCATCGGGAACTAGATTATTTTTATTCTTGTAATCAACTTTTCTTACAAATCCTACTCGCTTTTTGTTACTTGCTTTATTAGTGAACCTTATTAACTTCGAGACTCCTTCCAAATTGGCCTAGAGGTAATGCGGTTACCTTTGTTCATCAAGGCCTGCTTTTCGGGTTCCGGTTGGACCTTGTTTTTTTTCTGTGTGCAATTGAAAATTTTCGGGAAAAAATTTACTGCCGATTTTTAGAAAAGTCGACTTTTTTTGCTCAACTGGTGTCTGCTCGAAAATTGTTGGCTTGGTTTCTGCTTCTTGAGTAATTTGCAGAATTAATAGCTGGCGTTGTATATTTTCCCTAGTTTTTCTTTTAGTTTTATTCGGCCTAAATGGCCTATGTTTTTCGGCCTGTGTTTTTCGGCTAAAAGCTAAAATTGATTTTTTTTGAAGATTTAAGGTAGTTTGTGTTGCATTATTTCAAAGTTATTTAACTTATTTGCTGAAATTTTTTTTTGACAACAATTTTTTTAAACCATTTTGTTTTCAGCTCAATGGCGTCTACCCACCTGCTGTCTCTTAGTGGCCGCTCGTTAAATACTGAAAGCTTATTTGACACTGGTGGTTGTGTTTTTCCCGTAAATAAGTTTGTTCAAAGAATGGTCATTTTTGTAGGAATGGTTCAAGACATGCTCAATTTTCTGAAATTTCTAATGTAAATACCTTATTTTAGTTTCGGGTATTAATTGTTTTTCAAATAAATTTCTGCATGGCAGTGACTATATTTCCAAATAAGTTTTTCGAAAAATTGTTTTTTTTTGCTTTAGCGGTTTTCGGCCTAGTATCTGTCGGTTCGTATTCCGTTTTTTTTTAAATATCATTTTCGTTATCTGCTACTCATTTTTATTGGCCTAATTTGTAAAGCATAGATTTTATTTTGATTCTGAATATTATTTGTTATTTTCAATTCAACCAACCATCTGGCGCGGAGGTAACACACTTATTGATACGGCAAAAATTTGCGGTTCAAATCCGAACGGGACCTGTTTTTTTTGCTTGCTAGTGTTTTTGTGCTTTTTCGGACTGTCGTCCGTCTGTTCATTTTTGTCGGCTTAGTTTCTGTAGCCCGACTATTTTTGAAGTTTCAGTTTTATTTGGTAACAGTTTTTTTTGTAGCAGTTTTTGTAACAATCATGCTTGAGAAGGCCAATCCCTGGAGTTTGGTTCCAGTGAAGACTTGTTTTTTTTGCAAGCTGAAAATTTTCGACTAATTTAGCCTATTGTCTTATATTGTCGGCTTAGTTCCCGTAGAAATGACTTTTCAAAAAGTTCGGCTTCTTTCTAGCATTTTAAAAGCTCCTTGTAAGTTTTTTATGGTCTATTGTAACATTGTTTCAGATAATTTGGTCTTTTTGCAATTTTGATGTTTTTTTTTCATAAATCAATTTTTTTGAAGTTTTTTTTTTAATTTTTGGTTTAGCTTTTCATTTGGCTTTACTCTTTGTCATTCATTTTTGTATCGCAAGTGGTACAAGGCTCAGGTTCGCCTCTGTGTCTGAAATTATTTGTCGTTTTTTACCAAATATTTGAAGAGTAATGAACGTAGTGCGTACTCTTAAATAAGTCTTGTTGATTTTTTTTCAGGCAAAAGTTTAAAATTTGTTCACGCTCAACTTTGTTTTTTTTTTCGCGGTTTGACTTTTGATTTTAGGTTGACTTCATTTCCAATGTTAAAAGGAAGGCAAACGTGATCGATTTTTAATTTCGATTTTTTGTAAGTTCTCATTGGTCATTCCAAGTTCAATTGCTAAATGGAAAGAGAATTGCCCTCTCCAAAAACAAAATTGCAAATAACGGTAAAAATGTAAATGATTAAGTTTCAAAAATGTATTTTAGTTTATTAACTCTCGGTGGATTATAATTTATACTTTTTCAATTCTGATTATTGTTTTCAAATGTCAAAAAATGTGAAGACACTGATTTAGGTTGTTGATTTTTGGGAGAAAATCTGAGAATTTGCTTACGCTCAATTTTGATTTTTGCGTTTTGTCTGTTGAATATTTTCTAGTTCAATTCCGATGTGTGTACGAAATGAAATGACGAAAATCAATAAAGAAAGTTCAATTGCTGCAAAAAACTTGACTGACTTGAACTTCAAAAATGTATTTCAGTTTTTGGGAATCCTGGCGGAAGGAAAACTTTATAGTGGTCCAGTTTTCTCGACTTGATTTAGGTTTATCAAAAAAG